ATCATTTCTTCAACAAGAACATTTTTCGCGTAATCTTACGTCTTTATTTATTTTGTACTGTAAATTTCAATTCATTATTTTTCAAATTATCACCGTGTTAATGTAAGCTGAAATAAATAAAGTTAACTGTTATATTTTGCGATTAAGTTGTTAAGACGTTTAAGAAAAACGCATTCATCGTACCATGAAAAACTAAATGAGCCGTAAACTAGACTAACAGAATGGTTGTTTATATTTTCTGGAATTTCTTGCACGTGCAATGCTGTTTATCGTGGGCAGTTGCGGACACCCGGTATGCGAGATGCAACGACCGGTCTTATAACCAATGGGAGCTAAATAATGATAAAATGCGGAAGGCTAGCTAGTAAAAATGCAACAGCTCGTCTAACAACTACGAGAACTAACACCATTGGTTATATCGGTATATGTATGTACGTGTCATTAGCACATACGCGGTGTTGGAAAAGCGCGCGCACCGAGTACCTCAAAATATTAATCGCATCCGGTGTAAGAAAGATGCATATTTTATTTTTCACTTTAATCTTTAATTCATAATAAAACAATAGCTGCTTACTTATCGCCATATTTTTGCCAAAATAGGTGTACAAATGTATACAAATATACATATACATGTACATGTGTATAAATATGTATTATATATGATGAAGAAAAATTAAAAAAAAAAAAAAAAAAAAAGACTTATTTAGGATGGATATTCTCGGTTTGCGCTCTTTTCCCACCTTAGTTTCAAATATCTCTTTTTCCAAAATGCTGCACTTCATTAGGGATGCCACATTCCATTTACATTGACGAAGCTTTCGAGAAAAGGTCTCTCTCACAGAATCACATACGATCACTCACTCGTTTGTTTTATAACTAATGGCACGTTGCTTTTGCAGCATGCAAGTGACGTTTTAATTTTTTTCTGCTCCAAAACTCTATCGATGGCAAAAGGTATCAGCGTTGAATCGGCTATCAAATCTGACGCGTGAAATCGTCGTTTCACGTGCATTCTACAAAAGCAATGTGTGACGATTGAAAAATTTCTACCAAAGCTCGTAACGGGATCTTGTCGCTTCAAAAATTGAAAATATCGAGATCTATAGCGATTCGCGGAAGTTATATTTTTTTCCTTTATTATATTTCAATTAAATCGTCGACTATTACTTTGTCTTTAATAAATCCCTCTCTTCGTAGCTCTAATAAACAAATTTCTCTCTTTAATCAATTCCTCTTTCACATAATTACTGTGTTGTATAAATGTACATGATTTTATTTTTCACATTTCTTTCTCTCCAACACGAGGAAATCTTTTAAAATGATTTTATCAATTTTATTGAAACATTAAAAATCTTTTAAAACGATGTAAATTTCATTACAACGTTTAAAGGCCCGGCTTATAATAATCCACAATATACTGTCGACGACTTAGGCCTTAGATTAATAATTATTCGCTCGTCTCTTAAAGCGTGTCGCATGAAGCATCAGATCCCGTCACGCCCTCGGAATCACTTAAGCACTAAAAGCGATGACGACACTTATACCATTCCAAGTAAATTCTGCGTGTGCTTTAGTGCGTGCCGGCGGCGGCATCGCGGAAGATATTTGCATTGCAAAGGACAAGACGATAGTGCCATTGTCGACTCGATTTTCGCAGGGTTTCTAATTGCTCGTTCGTCGGAATGGCCCGCATATATAACGGCGGATACAGTTACGGGGAGATTATACAGTAATGTCAAATATCGTCAATTTCATCGCGAGGTTACACGACCGTTCACCTTATGAAGTAGAGCAACCGACAAGCAACCGTTAAGAAGTATGTCACATTTATAAATATCTTATTCTTATGCGAGTGTCAAATTATACGCGAGAAAAAACTGAAGCAAAATAAAGAAAAAGACTGATAAAAACAATGACGAATTAAGCCGCATACGAACTGTATTATTATCAGCGTTGATAAGTAAGTTACGTGAGCACCGGGAATAAGTAACAAATTGACCGTATTACGGCAACGAAATATTAGCAATGTCGAGTTGTGAGTGCCCTTATCGCGGGATTGCTTTCTCGATTAAGCCGCTTTCACGCAACCCGATCCGCACCGATTAAGCCGCAATGCGCGAATAGAAGTAAAAAGCGCGTATCGCTCGAAACCTGTTCGCAGTCGTTGATTGGTCATGCTAATTAACGAGTCGCGCAAGAGTTTAATTAGAGTTCCCTCGACGCGTTTCGCCCTCCGGAAGCTGGGAGCATCCTATTTCGCATTCTATATCACGTCCCGTGATTGGTCGTTACGAAGTACGGATGCGCCGCGACATCGACTTCCTGTCCGTAGAACCCGTCAGACGAACCGGATTCAGCCATAATGATGTAATCGACGACAAATACGTATTTGATTCTTACTCCCTCGATTGACGTTGTATATTTTTTTCTCCCTCGAAAATTTACATCGATAAATTACAGCGGTACACAGTAGTAATATCAGATTAATTGCAAATTATATGAAATTAATTTAATTTCGAATAAATACATTTACTAACGAATAATTATGGATATTGGAATATTATTTCCATTTCCAGCACGAAACGTCGTCGAGCTTTTGTCTGCGCACTAATTGGTTGCCGAGCATGGTAATTGAAACATCGATCTTGTAAATCTTAAAATAGTAATATAATGCCGGTAAAATTTCGCTTAGCACAGCCGATTGCAAGATTCAACGCGAAAGAAAAAGCATGATACAACTGCTGAAGAGTGTAATACTAGTTTGCGTGACTTTGATGCACCTATTGGACGAAGAACTTGTTTGCAAAATGGCATCGATGAAATCGAAAATATTGCCAATGAGATAACATGAAGCTAAAGGAATTCTCGATATAAACTTGAGAGACTGAAATGAGCAAACTCCTGCGAGACGTATCTCTCCGCGATATTCTTGTACGAAGTTCCTTGAACTTTGTACTTTAACTAGCCGGAAATATCGTGTGTAAATCTATGCTTGAAAAGCATTATTTATAAGCTACCTGTTTCCACGCAATCCCTTTTCGTGAAATAACTTTGGATAAATATATATCCACGTCTTGTTTTAGAAGAATAGCACAATAAGTTTTGCAATCTCTCTTCAAAATATTTCTGAATTATAAATTTCAATTTTTCCATGTAATCGAATATAAAGAATATCTTTTTTTCAAGAATTAATATCGAAGACTTAAAAATGAAAATACAAAAAAAGCTTTTTCGACTGTTTTTAAAATAATCACGAAAAATTTCGTCTAGATTTATGAGACCGTCTACTAGATCGTCTAGATTTATGAGACCGATCAAGAGTAAATCAAAACGATATTTTTCGAAATAAGCGTCGAGATGCTTCGAAAATTTGACAGATTAAGGACGACATTACACATCAATGTCGTAGCAAATATAGAGATATAATCCCATCCACGTATAATCAGCGACAGGTCGCCACGCATGACGTCCGCAGACGTCGGTGGGATACTGGGTTACCAGTACGACTTGATGAAGTGCATTTAGGTGTACTTGACGCCAAGATGCTGAATATGCACACCCGCCCGGATGCCGACTGTCGACACGATGTATTACTGCGGATCTTATTCCGACCTCTCCCCTCATTGTCATCCATATTGAAAACAATTTGCATTTTAAACTCGTTTACATGTAGAAACATTTTCTTTTCAAATTCTACATTTGCGCGATGTCATTAGCGTAAACAGATAATTACGACCATGATCTCCAACGCTTTCTGGCTTCTATCGAGACTCGATGTGTTTTCGAAAGAGAATAAACGAGAAAAATAATAGAAAAAACTCGGTGAAAATGATGAAAATTATCGACAAAAAAAATAATATAATTTTATGAAAATAGAAAAATACGAAAAAGGATCATATATATATGTGTTTCGATTTTAATGTCGTCATCTGTCAAGTTTTCATATCTTGATGCTTATTTCAGCTATTTAAGCTATTTTTACATCTAAAATTTATTAGTTTTAGATCTACAAATATCATTTTGATGTTTCCTTGATTGATCTTTTATATATCTGGACAAAATGTCAATTTTTCATGACTATTTTAAAGACAGTCGAGAAATCTTTTGTAACGCAAAATGTCATAATGCGATACAATTAAGCACAGACTAAAGTTCGACGATTGTTCGTGCATGAAAAATTTCGGAGAATATTATCTAAGAATATCGGAGGCACTATTTAAAATTGCGTAATATCGATAAAGACGAAAAAGCGATAACTGACAATGGCACTTCGCAATTTTATAATAAGATTGTAACAAGGTTAATAAGTAAACACACTAACAAAATGTCGCCATCGCGCTGGAAAAAAACGTGTATAGCGGTTGCAGCATCACGTTTTCGTATTCTCATCAAGGAATATTGCTGTTTTTCCGGGATTTAATATTAGTTCTTCAGTCTTCTACTCTCATATCCAATATTTTATATATATATACACATACACACACAAGTGTTCGTGATGCTGCAGCCCTTAATATGATCATTATGGCCTCCGCGACATCCTCGCTTCCAGAACTCTCAGAAAACTATTTCAATAAATAAACAAAAAAAGCTCACACGAGATACGAAGTAAAAAAAATCGAGCCACGTTTACAGCGCCAGTTTTCACTTGCTAGCAAAAAAGATGAAATTTATATAATGAATATTTTGAAAATAAAAATTGTATAACACAATTTCCAAAAGTATTTCAATTTATCACAAATTATCGATTATAAAAATATGTATAAATTTTATTATAGAGTCTTAGAATATATATTTCTAAGCACATATTTCATATGCTCTCTACATGAATAAATCTTGAGATTATATTTAGCACGGTTTAAAAAAAAGGGACTTCAAAAAAATGATTATTTCGTCTGGATGCGAGAATTTCGTTCAGCATAATATTAGCTTAAAATTAACGGTATTATCAGGGGCAGGTTGACAGGGGTGGCTCGCAGCCTAAGGGCTCGATTTGAGCTTACCTTACTGCCCCTTTCGTTAAATATGATTTCGACGTCCAGGATTGGCCCAAATTGCTGAAAAGAGAATATATTTATCAAGTTTCAAATATGACAGTATGATATTAATATTGTAAAATAATATTGTAAATATGTTATCAATAAATGCAATAAATATAAATAAAATAAAAAATCTTAAAAACTCGGTCTTTAGAGAAATTTAAATATATAATGCAAATATATAATATTAAATATTGTAATATTAATATGCTGATACGAATTATAATGAAATTTTCAATCATGGTATCAAAGGAAATCTGACACAAAGCTTTTCTGATTTTATTAATCCTTTAATTAAACTGCCATGCGTTAATAACTGTATAATTATATCAGTTGATTACACCGCAAGCTTTTCCTCGAATTTCCATTCATAAATATTGAATTTACGAATATAAATATTAACTCTTCACGCAGTTTATTATTCATGCTTGACAAAACAGTCAAAAAAAAAAATAAAATAATCTAGAAATTGCTAAAAATCTAATTGACATTATTTAACCTGAACAAAATTGACGTATGCTCTAAAGTATTACGAAATGCCTAGAAATTAATACTGTGTAAATTATTAAAGCCTCTATATGTCGAATAAATAAAAATAATCTTCTATTAAAAATACTTTATCTCAAATTATATATAAAACAAAAAAAAATAATAGATAATAGAAATTTATAAACTGAATTTTCTTATAAAAAGTTTGAATTCATCTATAAAACACTATCTTATAGATAACTAGCTTTATAAAGAAACTTCAGCTTTCATAAAAGTTAAAAATTTTATTAAAAAACCTGTAATGAGAAAAAATATAGAAAATGCTTTTATTTTATGTGATACATGATAGATAATCAAATAGGCGGAAAGCAAGCGGTTTTGACAACAAAGATGTCAAGATAAACAAGCGAGGAGGAAGAAAATCATACTTACCCCAAACATTGCTCTAAGATCGGGATCTCGAAAGCGGAAGGGTATGTTGCTGACGTGCAGGCGTTTTGGTTGACCTTTGAGGTCGGTACCCTGTGTCGCTGTCGCAGGTGTCGTTGCGCCTGAGGTGACAGGTACCAACGCAGTGGCCTCCACTCCGCCTTCGGGGTTGGTCTCGTTACCGCCTGGTGTAGGTGCGGGCTGCTGGCCACCGCCTCCCGCAGCTGCAGCTGCGGCCGCTGCAACCGCAGCTTGAAACACCTCCGACTGTCGTCGGAAAAAGAAAAACCGTACGTTTAAAAAGTCATTTCAACGCAATTAAAGCAGGAAGAATTACATCCGAAGAGCAAATAAAATTTATATCTAATTAATAATGTATATCCATTATTTGTACATTATACGCAATAATTACATTAATCTAATAATAATATTTATATGTAACATTATTATATCTCATATATCGCTATGTTTATATTTCAATATATAAGCCTGCATTAGTATCTATAATTTTTATTCATATTTTCAACCCTTGTCAGAAAAGCTAGCGGCTCGTTATGAAATGAAAGGAGGGATCGACATCGGTGCATTCATCGCAAGATGAATGAGTGATAGGCGTGTGAAGTAATTGCCGCGCGCGACGGCAAGTAAATCAATAAAAAAGGAGACGCATAGGAGACTGTCGTGAGTAATAAATGGCGCAAACAACAACTCGGCGATGCGGCTGCAAACTTTAGTTCGCGATACTTTGGCGTCGGAGTTACCGTAATGTACGTTGACATAATACACAAGGCGACGCAGACTTGACGCGGAGCGTAATAATGGCTGTGCTCGCGGTGCGAAGCATTGCTTCGTCTGTGATAAACAACACGGCGCAATTAGCGAGACGGAAAGATTGGTCAAACATTTGAGATATTTCCTCTGAAATATACCCTGAAAAACAAAAACTTGGTTGAAAAGGGCAAAATTTGTTTTGCCCAGCTAAATATATTGTCCGACACGTTCAAATAAATATAACTAAAATATTCCGAAATAATTTGTTAATGTGAAAAAAGCTTATTCGAATCATCAAAACAGAGAGTTCAGTACAACGATGTACAGTTGCTACAACAGCATATTTTTGTGGCAGTATTCAACAAAATTTGTTTTTCAGTGTATTCCCGCGATTATTAATAAGATATTAATGTGAAACAGTCGATCGATATGGAACAAATAGACCCGAACGATCATTTCGTGACCCAAAAATGGAAAGGCAAACTTGACGTCATGCAATAATTATTGTATCAAAATACTTCCAAAGTTACATTATGCATCGTACGTATACACGATATCTTTATTACATGTAACTAGGCAATAAAGAAACTCTATCTCCTTATTTGAACCGACAAATGCATAATGCATAGCGATACCATTGCATGTCGCAATAACCGATTGCATCGATGAGATGGTAAATCACTCCCTTTGTTCTGTTTCGTGTTAATAATTCTCCTTCGCTGTGACATAACAATAAATCACGTAGCAACGCGGAGATTTCCTCGCTAAACCTGTGGAACTTTTATAAAAAATAGAAATCGCTCTCGTTGTTGAGGTAAAACATAAATAAACGCGAAACTGGAAGATTTATCAACAGCAAGAAATGTATATTCGTTGTAACATTTTGCTGCGCCGTTTACCTCGCATTATGTACAATCAAGCGCCCTAAGATATAGGATTATCACCAGAGTCCATCCAATCTCGCACGGGTTATAAACAATGATTTACAATGTACGTGTAAGCGGCCGCTGTACACATAAACCAGAAATATGATCGTTCATGTTAAGTCGGGAAGCTCGGCGGAAACTGCAAGTGGTAATATCTGAAAGTGGTCAGCCAAATGGCCGACCTTATCACGCCTGCACTACTAACGGCCGCCAAGTGAATGCGCGCCGCGCGCGGTCAGACGCAGCTGCCGCTTCTGCTTTGCGCGCGAAACTTGCGAAATATCGGGAAATATGAAGCCATTAATTTATCGCGGTCAGCCGCTTCCCTTTAGCATGTAAACTCGCGCCGTTAAAGGAGAAAATATAGAGGAAAGCGTGATAAAAGTTTTTGAAAGCGCGTAAATTTCGATGAAATTACTATTATTTTCTCGCACAGACAAATTTAAAGACTTTAAAGATCGATCTCTATTAATTCAGGAAATCCTGAATCGCGCCAAACAAAAATATTCATGTTGAAATATTCACTTATATTTGTCAAAATTTCACAGCTGTAATATTTTATGAAATATTTATACGCACAACTAATTTTCTCTTTCTCTCTACACTGATGCTTTTAGCTCTCCGGATCAGATATTATTACTGCTCAATGAACTACTCATTACGCACCACTGACGTATCATCGTCGGATTACAAGCTACGACGAGAGTGCATCAATACGCTGCCGGGCAGGCTTTTATGACGTTGGCGAAAGCTTGTTTCGCAGGAGATTGAAACTTTTTTTCCCCACCCCCCCATCCACGCGTACAAAAGAGGCAAGCATAGCTTTTCTGACGCGACGACGAGCAGAAATTTAACAAAGTGGAAACGCAGAACGTACCACCAGTCCTCGTCCATCCTGGTATAAATCCCCCGATCCCTCCTTTAATGCGTGCCATGAGAACAGTGATCATTCACGGAAAAATTTCGATAATCTGTCTCTTTCTCTCTACCGACCCGTTTCATTCGCTGCTGAACATTTTCATGTTTTTATTTTGCATTTTTATGTTTATTCAATACAAGATATAACGCAAAAATATGTCGACATTTTTTAAAAATTATTTAATGTGTTATTTATATATTCCCCTAGTGTGATAAAATAAAAAATCTCGAGGAAAGATAAATGTTTATAATGTTAAAATGTATTATAAGGCCATGATTTTTTACAGAAAAACTATGTCGCAAAGGGTATCTTTTTCTTTCATATATTTTATCCAGTATCCATTTCAAGAAATTCTTATTCATTATTTCATTAATTAATACATAATTTTTACAACGGCTGTAGAAATGGAAATTCATTAAGCAAACGTACAATCAAATAATTTGAATCATTGAAAAAGGTTCCAGTTCCTTTCTAACAAAGGATATAACGTGACGACACAAACGAAACGAGAGTGTCCCTTTGCTCTTTGTCGTTTCGCGATTGAGAACTGACTATTCCAATTTGACGAAATTATTCCAATTTGAACGACGTTCGCAAAAAATTGGAACCGCGTTGACATATTGTCTCTCTGAACTGCAGATATTGACGTCCATTCGTATTCTTCTCAAGACGTATTCGCACATATTCGTAAAAAACTTGATTAATTCTCCGTTAATTTATTTCATTCAATCGTAATCAAAAAGATCCATGGTGTTTAAAACGGGAAAAAGATTAATAAAAAAGTGCATGCTTGAAGAAAGTGTTTGTACTTAATCTTGATCTACTGAAAAAATTGGTTATAATAATCTGAACTTGATAAATGCTACCCACTGCTGCGGTAAAATAGTTTCAACGAAACTTATAGATGATTAAGACGAAATAATTTAGTTAATCTTAACATTTAGTAGACACAACTAAACTAAAATATGGTGTTTTAAAAATGTTTATAATTATTATTAAATATTTTATTATTATTATTATTATACATGATGATAAAAAAACTAAATATGTTTTCAAAGAATGCATTATTAAATGCATCTCGCAGATTTAGCAAGAATTTTTTTTCAGTGTAGGTATTGTATTTTTTATACTCGTTATATTTATAAGAAAGTTTGTTTATGCTTATTCGCATTTAAGTACTTAATCGGAAGATTGCGAGTCGCAAGATTTATTACGAGAACAAAAGGAAAAGAGAGACGGAGAGAAGCAAATTGCAAAGAATTATTATTCTTCGAGAGGAGCTTTTGTAATAATCTCTGAACATTTCTCTCGTGCACGTAACATTTGCTAAAATGTGAAAATAATAGAAATGCATAAATATTTTCTAACACTAAAAAAAGAAATTTAGTCTTATTTATCTAAATTATTTACATTCTCACTTTTCTTCCAAGACATATGAATTTGAAATGTACACGCTAATCACATAAGATATCTTTATTCCAGATTGTACAAATTTTACACCGAAGCTGACAAATTGAATTTTCTTGCAGCTTCGTCCGCGTTTCATCGAGGAATTCCCCGATCCATCCTCGTTAGCTACGCTTCTATCTCTGTCGATAGAAATCGGCATTCAAACGAACTGTTTGATATTCCGGCAGCGTGCTTCGTTCACGACGGAAATGCGCCAAGGATATACCCGGACGTCAATTGATACGAACATTTATTCCTGCAACTTTCGGTACAGCATTGCTCGTCGCCTCGAGCGAATGGCTGACAAGTTTGCAACAACGATAATCGTTGGACAAATTCAAGCAAGACGTGCTTTATGTGAATTTCGCGTTGCCAAAAGTATACTTTCCAGTCGTAACTTCGTCCCCGCTTTAATATAATTGCAGCTTGTTAGTAGTAAAAGATTTATCTGCGAAGCGAAAATGCAAATGCGTAGTGTGATGAAATATTATGTAAATGAAAGTGTAGGAAGACGGTTGTTAGTATAATTGCCACGTGGTAACAACATTCATATTTTATTGTAGCAATCAAGAAGAGTGCAAGAGAAGGCTTTAAAAATTTTACGCCATTTTCGCATTCATGGGGGAAGGGAGGGGGGGAAAGGCTAGCGCCCTAATCAGATTTTAAATTATCTTCCACAAACTTGACGAAACATTATCATAATTATTTCCATGAAACATATTAAACACGAGTAAAAAAATATTTATACATTTATAAGGGCATCGATAATGATAAATCCATTTAAAATATGGCTTTTGCAGCGAAACTTAATTTAGGAAATAACGGAAAATTCTATTTTCGTATTATTTTTTCGTTGCCACGTCGAGAAGAATAGAAACTTGGGCATAAATCTTTATTGCGATTTATTTTCATTATATCATATATATTTATATTGTGAAATAGACTGTTAGCGCAGATTAGATTAGACGCACACAAATCACTGCATGAAGGAACGCGCGAGAAGTTAGACGAGATAAACCCGACAAATTATGCAAACCGCGGAAGACGGATAATGTCATCAAGCGAGGAAACGCTCGCGAATTCTGTACAGTTCGAGAAGCTTTTAGTCCAGCATGAATAATAGAGACGTGTCGTTTCCAAGGCAAGGATTTATAGCCGTTCGCCCCAAAACTCCGAGCCATTTGTTTGTCCCCCTCCCTGCC